AATTCACTATATTGACTTAGAGTCTTTACAATGTAATCTCTAAAATACTTTTGAATTATCTTTATATTTATTTTGTATATAGCTTACGTCAGTGATGTATATTTTTGATGTCCTAGAAATTTACTATTCCAGTTATATGTCTTAACCTATCCTACACTATGTCTCAAATATTCTATCTATCCTATCTATATCTTATCAGTGTTCCATTAATGTCCTATAATAATACTAGCTTACGTATTTTTATATTAAGTATAATCTTTGATGTTACTGTTGTTAACCTTATACTCAGCCCATCAAATTTAGAGTAATAATAATTTAATAACAGGGAGTAACGTGCGAAAAACTACTAAATTACTATAGAATAAGTCCTATCATAATTAATCTTAGATCTATACTTTAAACAAGTAAAATAACTTTAATACTTTGTATTAATAATAAACACAATTAACACGTTGAAGGATTTTAATATGTGTAGTTTTAGAAAAAGATTTCTTTATTGTAGAGATTTGTATCCTTAGCAATCCTTAACTTTAGATTTTAAGTCTTAAACTCAAATTATTGAGTTATCACTATTATCTCTATCCTTTTACAAGGATAAGTTTCTATCCTATTTATACAAAAATACAATTATAAGAAATTACTATCTAATGCTAAACTATTTTATAATATATAAATAAATATAAAAGATAATTTATAATATAACAATGATAATAATATAATAAATAATGATAATAAAATATAAAAATAAAATAAATAAAATAAAAATGTTAACTAAGTTAAAAATGCTAATAATATTAATATTATTAATCATTTGTTAATCTTTATTATGTAGTAAAATTGACTTCATATAGTATCAATTTCCTTCTCTAAATTTGCAGCTCTTGCAAAATTTTATAAGCTTTGTCAACCAAGTCCTTAAATTCCTAGGATTTGAGATTATAAATCGTCTTAAGAGTTATCTTCTTAGTACATCCAATTTATGCAATTCTCAGAGTTTTAAAAAGATAATAAGTCTTTTTTGAGGCTTGCTAATAGTATAAGGTCATTTGGTTCCTATACTGAGTTCGTTTAGCTAGACTTGAGATTTTTATCTCCATTACTTGTCTAAGATAAAATGCATTAACTAAAGCTAATACTCTATTTTTTAACCTAGTAGCTCATAATAAAGCTTTATAAATTGTTTTGACTTTTTATACAATTGAATCAGTTTCCATATAAGGTGAAGAAATATTGGTATCTGCTAAGATATTAATAGCTATTAAATCATCCTTAACTTCTTGAAATGATAAGGCTTTAATAGATTTTCATTTACAAGTATACGTAATACTCTTTCATCTATTTCTCTTATCTTATAAAATCTATTCATTAAAACTTGATGGATATAGTAAACTCCTTTTCATTTTGGATTAAGTTTGCAAGACCATTGCTTATCTTTAGCCACATCATAGTAGAGAACTTTATTTTCAATTTCAAATTGATAAAGATGATCAATTTGTTTATCATGATGATTCTTTTAATTATATTATACAATTGCAATACGATTTTTTACAATCTTGCTAGTTTGTGGTAATTGATTAACCAAATTTTGCAAATGTTTTGATAATGTGAAATTTTGATCATTAAGATTGTCTAGGGATAAGGTTGCATTTCTTTCATATACTAGATAAAAAGAAGATAATTTTGTGATAAAGTGTTTACTTGTATGATATGCAAATAAGGTTAGTGCAATCTGCAAATCCCAATTATCTAAATTTTATGTAGTTTTTGCTAAAGATTCACATAAGATATAGTTAAAACATTTCACTAAACCATTTTTTTAGGGTGATAGGATATTGATAGTAAATGTTTAATTTTAAACTATTCATTAATTCCTTGATCATATGATTATTAAAATGGGTTTCTCTATCATAAAAAATCTTCATAAGATATTTATGATGACAGATTATGTATTTGAAATAAAAAGGACAACTTATTCTGTAGTAGCTTAAAGAACAGCTTTAGCTTCAAGTCACTTAGTAAAATAATTAACAGCAATAATAATATGTTTATTTCTATTAGACATTATAAGTAGAAGTTTAATGAAATCTATACCAATTTGATAAAAAGATGCTTAAACTAGTATAGGATGTAACTCTTCATGCTTCTTTGATTTTTCTCTTTTTTAGTAACTATTATAAGAACGAACATATTCTCTAATATTTTTATATAATTGTGGTTAATAGTATCATTCTTTGATTTTATCAAACATTATATCTACTACAAAATGTCTAGCAGTCAGATCATTATGCATCATATAAAGTACAACTTTCATTTATGTAATCGAATAACTCTAAGAAGCTTTTAATAAACATGTTTATACAAATAATTATTTTTAATTTTAAAATATCTAGATTGTTTAATTAATTTTTGTTGCTGAGTGGTAAAATTTGGTTTTGTAAATAATTAAAAAGATGATTATATTATATTATTTCCATTTTAAGCTGTTTGTCATGCTGCAAATACTTTGGCTTTCACTCAAATAAATATATCTTAATAAACATTGAGATAAATGAGGAATTAATAAGAGGGTAAAAAAATGATATTTAATGTTCTATAAAGTTAAGAATATGCATTTTCTTATTGAATTAAAACTGATTCTTCTCATTATACGTCATTAACTAAATAAGTTGATTTCATGTCTAGATGAATTTTTCCTCTTTCATATTCTATAATACAATCATGAATAATTATATCACAAGGTAAATTCTTTTTACATGCTTTACAGTAAGTATAGATATGATAATTCTCAAAATCACAAATAAAAATGCATTGAAATCCTTCTTTAATGATGGGTTAGTTGGCTATGACTGATTTGATTTTAATATTTTCACAATATATATCTTCCATTTTATCCCTTGAGCTTTCATATCCAATTGCGGTGTTAACGTTACTCTTTTTGTCGAATAAGTTAACTATGATTTGAAGTCAGAAAAACAATAGCTATGACTTAAATCCAATCAACTTAACACGCTATTTATTAGAGAGTTTATTTAATTAACAAGAATAAAATTATAAGTTTATGTTTGCAAAATGTTAAGAGTGTTTATTATTGTTATCAGATGTATATTGAATACAATGTTTTTTTCTATCTTTTTTCCAGGGCATTTTCATGTCCTTTATATAAGAAAATTATAATTAAGAAAAATCTATAGTATTTATGATACTACTGACAATAATAATAGAGCTAACAGATATATTAGTTATGTTAAATATGATATAAATGATAATAATGATATAAATAATAGAAATATAATAAATAGTATGTGTGTCCTATTTGGCAGATATAGCATATTTGACAGGTTCATCAATTTTTGCCAGTTTCACAATTATTCTTTTTAAATAATAATAAATTTTTTAATTAAAATAATAGTAAATTATTCAATTAGAATAATAATTAATCATTTTTTTAAATGATAATTAATTATTAATTAAACAATAATAAATTATTCTTCTTAAATAATAATTAATCATTTAATTAAAAATAAATAAAAATAATAATATATTGTTCAATTAGAACAATGATAAATTGTTCTTAATAATTTAAAAATTCAGTATAAATTTTATTTTTATTTTAGTATTTCTATTACAAAATATAATTTCATCTAAATATCTAAATAATATAATATAAAATAATAAAATATCTAGCATATTAATGTATATTAACCTAGATAATTTAGATAAATAAAAATGTGATCTTAATCATATAAGTTTAATTGAATTAGGATTTATAATAAAAATAATAGTTTTAATTTAACAAAAAATTTGAGTTAGGTTAAATAATTTAAGTAAATTTGAATAACTTAAAATATTAGTTGTAAATTTTCTAAAGTATTAAATAAATTTTGTATAATAAATCTTTATCTTTAAATATTTATAAATTTGTATTTTTTATAAATTGTAAATTTTACTTAAACTATTTTATAAAATATATAAAATATTAAAATATTAATAAAAAAATAAAATCTTACAAAATTAGTTTTAATATTTAAATTTGCATTTTAATATAATTTTCTAAGAATATTAAAAATTCAGTCTAGTCTAAATTCAATTCTTAAACTCCAGTCATAAAGTAGATTCAATCTATAAATTTAAGTCTTAAGACTGAATTCTAAAATTAGGTTCTAAAACTGCAGCTCTAGAATTGCATTCTTATAAAAAATTAAAACTTGTAGTTTTAGGATTATAATTTTAATAATATATAAAATTTGATCTACTAAAATATTTACAATAAATGTTTGTAGAAAATTATTCTTTATAGATAATAATATATTGTTCAATTAGAATAATAAAGAATTGTTTAATTAGAAAAATAAAAATTATTTAACTAGAATGATGAGAATTTGTTTAACTTAAATAATAAAATAAAAATCATTCAAAAAAAATAATGAAAAATTATTAAACTTGAATAATAAAATATAATTTAAATTAGAATATTTAATTGATGAAAAAAATCATAATCGATGATTTGATCAGTCCCTCACTCACATAATCGATTAAAAATTGAATTACTTAATTGAACACGTGTGATCAATTCCTTAATCGAATGCATTATTCAATCAAATAATATCGATTTTAAATTGATTGATCATTGATTAATTTATAGTTTTTATTACAATATTGTAATCAAATTTAACAATTAAAGTTCTTAATCGCCGATCCGGCTAAGATTGGCACTATTCTCATATAGAAAATCAGGGTTAAATTTGCCGATCTGATACTGATACACAAACTTCTAAAAAGGATATTTCATAAACGATGTACAAACTTTAAATAATTGACACATAATATACTAAAAAATACTTGAAAAAACCGAATCTGGCAAAAAAATTATACGTTTATATGTAAAATAACAACTTTTCTATATGGGCGCGTCAGATTTACATTTTGAATAAAATAGAATTTCATTATTTTACTGTACTTTATTATATTATTTACATAAAAAACAAGCACAATTTGGCCTTTTAACTTGTTTCTAAAGACTCTCTTGCGTTCAAGGTATATTCTGCTGCTTCAATTGCTTGAAGTGCCATTGCATGTTTCCAGCCTCGTGAAAAAGAAGTAATCCAATTTGCAATAGTAGATTCCTTTGGTATATCTTCCTCCTCTATTTCTCTTTCTTATACTCGTTGCATCAATTCATTTCGCATCTCTACAGCTGTCATTTTATTTCTTAGGTTTGCAGTTCCTGCATGAAACATTGTTTCAAGAAGTTGCTTGATATGTATAGGGATTCGTTTCACTGGTTCTCTA